ATAAGTTGCAGACCTCTTAAATTCTTTCCTTTCCTGTGGCTTTTGCTTTATCACTGCCTCTCTCACTCCCTCTGGCCTGGGGCAGGCCCACAGCATTGCTACCTTGTTTTTTTTTTCCCCAGCTTCCTAACAGATCACCCCGCCTGTAGTCTTGGGCCTTCCCTGGCCTGTCCTTGCTCCCTCACTCTGCCAGGGAGATCATCTCACAACCCGGAAGTCATCATGTAACTCCTCCGCTCCAAAACCTTCAGCGGCTTCGGGGGGAAAAGTTAGGTTCTTAGCATGACGTCCGGATTGAGCACTGTCACCCCTTTGGAGGTCCCCCTCTTACCATCTGTCCTCTTGGGCACACTTCCTCTTCTGGAGGCACTCTTCAAAGTTGCACACAGTTTTGAGAAAAGCCCCTTTTACTTGTGTTGGTTTGATAAGACAACAGCATCCAAGGGCTGAGTGTCTGAGGATGAAGCCATGCTGATGAGGCTGAGGGGATGGGCGTAAAGGAGACATGGAGGGACCGAGCATCGTGGTTAAGAGGGTCAGGAGCACAGAGCGCTAGGCTCGACGCTGGCTCTTCTCTTTAATAGCTCTGTGACCTCAGGTCGATTGCTCAGTCTTACCCACAATGGTCAGGCACCCCGGTGTACCATTAAAAGGTCACAGGAGCAAGGAGATGTTATTCATCCATAGGTCAGCCAGGCAGGCAGCTAGGGACCCCTGGCCGGACACCTCTGCAAGGTGGATTAGCCATCTTGGTCAGATGGGGACTGGAGGCGTTCCCAGGACCAGGTACTTTCAGTTGTAAAACTGGGAAAGTCCTGGGCAGACTGGGATGAGTGGTCACCCTATACCCGGGCCCCTGCCAACCTCGTGTGTTTAATCTGGCGTATGTTATTTTGTACACGTGTCTACGATATGGAAAAGGTTGGGAATTCTGTAAAGTGGGGATTGAAAAAGGTTGGGAAGCTCAGTTTCTTCATCTGTAAAGTGGGGGTGCTAAGAGTGCTTACCTCGTTTGGTTGTCGTGAAGATTAAGTGAATAAAGCAGGACCTTTTGATCCTGTGCTTTTGACCCAGAGGCACAGCCAGATTCTATGTCTTTGCCAACCAAGGGCCCCTTGCTCCAAGATTTAAAAAAAAAAACAACAAAACTATCCACAGTTTATCTGCCAGTGTTACAAATGTGAGGTACAGTAGCACACTACGTTAAATTGGAAAAATAAATGCAAACTCCTCACCTTAAAAAAATAATTATTGTCAGTGCCGATTACTAATAACTATTGTCATTGCTGATTACTAAGAGGGATCCAAGGGCAGCAGCCCCCTGCCCAGAGACAACTCTCAGAAGGCTCATGTGTGCTGTTCTCCTCCAGAGGAGGGGCAATGAGTCCATGGCTTGGGGAAAGAGAAAACTGGAACATCCTCCTGTTGCCAGAAAGCCAGCAGGCTGTAAATAACATTAGCGGCACTGATAGGACAAAGGAACCAACCTCTCACGGGCCACGATGTGACCACTGTGGCATCTATATCAACCTGATGGTTATTTTATTATTGTTGCTGTCAAAGTTATTGGAAAAGTTGAATCTGTGAAAGGCCATGAGTCCATGATGACAACCGAAATAGGAAAGT